TCCCGGATGCAGGGAATGCCTGTCCCAGTCTTCTCCTGCGGAAGCCCCTGCAGGGGTGGCGTCCCCTCCTAACTGCTCCTCTCACAGGCTCCCACCTTCCGAAACAGAAACCATTTTCAAGGTTGAGCTGAAACGTCCGATCTTCTGCAGATCTGTCCTCCAACCAGAAGCATTTCACTCGCCCTCTAGAGCTTCTGTCCAGCATAGCAACCTGCCCTGGGGCCCTGGAGCTGTTGTTTCTGGGTCTGCCGTGCTGGCCACCCTGAGAGCACAACCCTGCTTACCCAGCCTGGTCCAGGCCTGGCACACACCAGCGTTGGAGGCTCAGGGTGGGGTGGTCAAGGCTGCCCCTGGGATAAGCTCACGGATGCTGGCTGAGCTGCCCTGAGAGTCCTGCCTTCCTCCCTCGGACCGAAGGGCAGAACAGGAGGCTGTCAATTCCACGAATGCAGCCTCCAAGGCTCCCGAAAGGCCTCCCTCCGATCCCCTCAATGCCCCCACCTCCCTGGACACGTCCACGTCTGTAACCTCGTAGAGAGTCTGGCCCTCCTCCTCCGTGGCCCCTGGCTCTCAGCACACTTCCGGGAACTGCACAGGTGCTCCCTGAACGCTCCTGGATAACAAGGCTGAGATAATTTATGGCCAAAGATAGAGAGTGATTGCCAGTGAGAATTACATACTAATAACGCGGAGCACTCGGAGTTCATCCTGAAGTTTCTCTCTTGACCTGATTCCCAACAAGGGGAGCATAAAATCAAAGGTCGGCCTCGTTAGCAGGCGGCCGTGAGCTGTGAAGCTGCAGCAGGCGGTTGGGGGAGCCTGGCCGCATAGATGAGAAATCACCTCTGGCGGCTCTTTCATCCACGCGCGAGAAAGCAGGAGGCGGCGTCCACGAAGCCCTGGCATTTACGTCTCTGTCCTCCAGCGTCTCCCAAGCGTCCCTGTGTTCACGTGGTGTTCCCATGGCCGCAGTCTTCCCTTCTCTTAAAAGTTCACTCTCAGTGTCTGGATGTGGGCTTGTCCCTCTGTGCGTGGAGATGCCAGCCAGTCTCCCTTTTGAACGGTGGCACTCGGGTCCCATCGGTGAGCTGCCTGGTGGCTGGTGTCAGTTTTAGCACCATCAGTAAATGCACATCTCATCACTCATACATCGTCTGGAAGCTTCTCAAGGGAGGGGGAAACATCTGATTCCAATCATATGATGAAGGCATGGTAGCTGCCTAAGTTAACCGTTTTCTTGCCTACGTAATAACTATGTCGTGGCACGCACTCCCGTAAAACACCCTGTTGCCCAAGCACCAGCTCAGGCCCCCTTTGGGGGACAGCCTCCCCACCTGCTGTCCACTCCCGCCTCATGGTCCTCAGGTTGCAGAGGTCCCGAGGGCCGGTCAGGCCCAGGACCAACGCCCCAGGCTGGAGGCACTCACCCTTCTGTTTCTGCAGCCCCGCAGGAGAAGTGGGGAACAGCTGCAGGGCTGAGAAGTCTTCTACGATCACGGTAGGCACTCTGTTTGTATTACTCGACCAGTGCCCTACACAGCCTTCCGTCTGCTGGGGCGCGGCAGACGGGGCGTGCCTAGGATAGTTCCAGAGCAGCACCGTCCCCACAGATAATCAGTTACCCTCTGCTTCCATGGAGTGAAGTGGGCTCCCTGAACACTCTGACCACTGGCACGAGAGATCTGTGGGGTGGCGAACTGGAACTCCAGGGAAGGGATGGCGCCTGTGGGCAGGCGCAGGTGAGGCTCCTGCGGGCAGGCCCAGGTGAGGCTTCTCCAGCACCAGGGCTTCCGGTTAGTACCTATTTGTCTCTGGCTTTAGAGACAGGCTAACAGTCCTGGCGTGCACCCTGAGGTTGAGCTCTGTGGATGGGACAGTTTCTATGCTCTCCTCAGCACAGGGATTCACACAGATAAGATGCCTCAATCTACTCAAAAGGATTTTGGACACCTGGCCAGATGCATAAAAGGACCGTGAAGCAGTGGCCACAACCAGGGACCTCCTGCACTTAGCCCCACCTCCCGGGGATCGACACCACCTGTGCTTGGGAGCCTGGCCCTCCCCCAGGTTCAGGTCCCATCCCCTCCTCTCTACAATCCGAGCTTTGCCTCCAGCCTCCCCCTCTACTAGCGTTTTCTCTGACTAGTGACATGTCCAAGATGGCACTTAAAAACAAAGGAAGAGCAAAAATGAAACAGACCGAACTCCTCCCGTGTTCCAGCCTGGGCACTGCCCAATCTCCCAGCCTGGGCACTGCCTCGTGTCCCAGCCCGGGCACTGCCCCATCTCCCCTCCCATCTGCAGTGAAGCGTCTGGGGAACAGCGTCTCTGCTCGATATCCCAGTGCCCCCACCCCGGCCC